GTTTCGCCGCGGCGCTGCAAAAGCTTGACGTCAACAACCGTGCCTCGAAACAGTGTGCGCGATGGTTCGTGCAGGGCCAAGCTTTTCCCAAAAACAGGGAAAAGCACGAGGTAGGGCAAGGGAAGCAAAGGATGAAAAACGGAATCGAGATGTGGCAGACCCTCAGAATGAAGTCTTGTGCACTCAAAAGAGGATGCTTACCGAAAGACGAGCAACAACGGAAAGAAACGAATAGTGTGGAGGAGAGAGGGGGGAAAAGAGACGATCGGTGACGGGAGAGGGGAACGAGCTGTCTTTATTTATGGAGAGTCGTGTGCAAGACGTACGACAGAAGAAAATTATTTGTAGAGCGATCGGCGGTAGGTCTCCAACGGCAAGATGGGTGGGACCTCCACGGCCGGGGATGCTCTATCCCCGGGGTCTTTTTCTTGTCAATTATTATTTACCGACAATTTACGACGAACAAGCTTTCGTTGTATGGTATCTGACCTCGAGAGCACGACAAAGCAAACGACGACTGGGTAGTCTTGGCATGGTTAGTTTGTCATACGTTTGACCAACATTTTGATTCCCAAGGACAGTGGACGGAGAACGATATCAAGACGACACGAAAAGAGACAAGAAAGAAGGCCGGGGGAGGCAAGAAAATAACACGGCGGGGTAAGGGGAAGAAGCGGAGGTAAGTGAGGAGAAGAGAAGGCAGGGATGTGTGGGCGCGAGCCCTCGTGTGCAGGAGGAATGTGGTGTGGTGCCAGGAAACGACACGGGGGAGTCGACGATCGCAAATGGACGACGAAAACAAAAAAGAGGGTACCAAATGGAAACTCAGGATCCTACGACGTTCTGGGGGTTGCGGCGGCAGAGTACCAAAGAATGAAGAAACGGGACAAAAAAACCGGCGCACGGCGCGTGGGACGTGGAAAATGAGACGGTGGCTCGGGTGGCTGTCGGTGGGGACCAGCAAAATATACGACATACGGAGTCATGACGACGCACAACGTCCAGTGAAAGAAACGAAACGAGCAAAAGTACCAGAAGAAACAAAAGAGGGAAAAAGTGCGCGGGGCGCCGCACGCGTGCACCAAAAACCCCACAGAAAGAGGGCGACGATCTTGCACGAAAAGAGAAACAAGTCTATCGTTGCCTCGAGGTCATTTTGTCCTTTGTCGTTTTCATGGTGGAGATTGGGCGTCGGGAACCGGTTTCTTCGAGCAGGAAATATTGACAAATTATGCTGTGGAAAGAGATAAAAGAAAAGACATTTAAGATGGATCAGTCAACAATATTACGAATATGCACAACATCAGAGAAAAAACCCGTCGCCAGCCTCGCCATCAGGTTATGCTGCAAACATATCGCCTTTCTATCCCCCGGCCTGTTTTCCCCCAAAACAGGGATAACCTGGTGACTTCTCTCTATCCTAGATCCAATCTCGTGCCCGCCCCCGAATTACGGAGTATCTCGAAGTGAACAGACGCATGGCAAGAAAAGAAATAATAAAATAAAATAAACGCGGAACAGGCCAAGTCACGCGATTGTCTTCCATTTCGAGAAAAGCAGGGGTTCAAATCCTTTTCTTCCTTTCCTTTTCCTGTTTTCGACTAGATGCATCGTGAGGTTTTTTTTTTGTGCTGCTCGTGCTCGTTATTTGTCATTGTTCATCGTTGTTGTATACTTTTTTTCTCATTCTTATTCACGGCGCCTCTGTGCCGACGTCGCTTATCTGCCGGACTACCGTTCCGGCACAATTGTAGAGCTGAAGTAATAGATGCGTCCCCGTACAAAGAACTACCAAGGTCGACGCCAAACCAGGAGAAAGCTGAGATGGTGTATGGAGTACGTTGACGACACACGACGACGGCAGCAGCGCTTACGTATGGTGATGACTGATGCGACTGTGCAATCTGTCCACAGTCAACTTGGTTCCGTTGCATATGCGACATATCTCGTAGAGCTGTGTCTGCAGGATATTAGGAGAAATATCAAATACTTTAGAAGGATTGTAGCATGCAACTCATAGTCCCTACCCCGTTCCCCTTCGTAATTTCATCGCTCTAGTTTAAATTTTCAGTCTTTTTTTATGGATCCCTGCACGTCGCTCACCGGAGACATCGAATGAGAATATCACGATAATACAAAGGAAACAAATAGAGTCGAAATGTTTAACGGCAAAGCGCTAGACCGAGGATATAATGTTTCTCGTCACGCAGCGATGAAAAAGGCGCATCTGGATCGCCTTTTGAGTGTACGAGACTTCAGATGAGAATAGAGAAGGATGCTATGAAAATGAACCCTTTTTGATCAACGTTCGCCCACAGGCTAGAACACTCGACAAGAGCGTCGTATGGAGCCTACCCCTGTCTCGACTCTTAAGCTCTATATACCCTTTCTATTCGTTCTTTTTCGGTGACCGACCGAGACCAATTGCCCAGCATCTCGACGACATGAGCTTCTGGAAGAGGTTGTCCTCATTGTAATGTGTCGTTCTCCGTAAATCATCCCGCAATGCGCTCCGGTGTTAGCTGCAGACTTACAACTAATACATATTGAGAGTGAGAAATACGTTTTTATAAATAAATAAAAAAAATAGAGCAAAACGTACACATTGACTGTCTCCATGTAGTCTTGGAATGTTGAACATCGACTGTCGAATGTGGTCCAGGCTCGGCAATTGTCTCAATAGGCTACTTGGCAGAGCCTAAAACCAAGCGTCTGCGTTTCTGTAAAAGTGGTTGCGGAGTGGACACTGGAGGAAAGTCAATGAGGAGGATCTCCCAAGCGCGGGTCCACAATGGATGATGTGTTAGTTGCCCTAAAACAAGCAAAGAAGTAATATCCTGAACGTAGTAAGAAATCCGCACAACGACCATCGTACCACCTGTTGTCCGCGACAGATCTGGTGAACTCTTATCCAGGCGCTTTGTATTACGGCGTAACATCCCCGCAATCTTCACCGGGACCCCGCCGGATGGGGCTGGCCTGGTTGTAGTGCATGCCTTCCGCCGGAGCTACTGAAAAAAGTAAGGTTTTTCCTTCTTTTTTGCCCGTTCTCCAAGTAGTAGTTACTCCGTTCGGTGCCCAAAGGGCTACCCAAAGGCGCCGTTGGAGGAAAATTTGTCAAAAGATCATGGCTCCTTCCATTATCCACATACGTTAGTTCGTACTAGAACGCTTCAGGCAGGTCGGTAGGCTTCCCCAATGTCGTTTTTGCCTTTCCCCCTCATTCCACTAAACAACACTCACAACCTCCAACCCCCGTCTTTTGACGCGGCTATTTTTTTAAGATTCGCGCCCGGTCTCATCTTTCCATGTTCCTCAGCCACACCGTAAAGGACGCGATATTATCCGTAGGAAGAAAGCAACCTACGAAGACGTTCAACTTAAATCCTTCCTATTTTCGTGAAGCTCCAAAATACAACCTAACACCCCACGCGGGGGGGAGACAGGGAAGCAAACGAAGCAGATGTGGGAAATTGACGGTAAAAATGCGGAGGCGAGGCAAAATTTTCGACTCCATGGAGACGATGGCCAAAGCGTTATGTACATCTTCGTAGGATTGGATACGATAATGAGGCGGGAGATTTGGAATGTCACGTCAAGTTCTCGTGAGATATCGGGAGCTCAAGCCCGGGGTAAAGAGGTTGTCAAATTTCGAGAGCAAGACGGAGACCAGGACGGGATGCAGCTCGAGCTGGGGGGAGAGAGAGAAAATGCCGTAGTCATGACATCCAACATAGGAGCCGTTGAAGAAATGAGCGGTCTGTTCTTTCCTTCTTACATGGACATATTTACCACTCAAAAGGTGACGTAAAAATATCATTCATTGACTTGATCTCGAACGCTCAAGTTTTTCAAAGCATCATCAAAGATCCATACCAACTGTACTCTTCTCTTTCCCAAGCTCTCACTCATATACACAAAAAACGGAGGCGAGCCAATATGCGTATGTGCAAAACTCGACCTTGCCAATGTGAGGATAGAAGAACAAACAGCAACAAATAAGCAACCCAGCCAATCTGGCCAACCAGATTGGGTCACGACATAGGTTGGTCCTCTCAAGCAAATCCGGTGTCAATGATACAGTGGCTTTCTGAATTCAAACATAGAGGTCGGGAACCAGGGACTAGGGAACGAACTGCCTGCCGGATTGATGGACGTTAAACAGGCCGGTTGATAGTCGGGCGCCCCGAGACGTGGGATGGTCACATTCGGCCGTAGCCAAGACGCCACATGAATGGCATACAAGGATGGGGTAGGCAACATTGGGGATAGGGGATGGGGATGGAAACATGGGGTACGAGAAAGAGTAGGGAGAGATCCTCAGATCGTAACGGGCAACGAAGCACTCGACGAAAACGACGAGGAACAGTAGACGAAAAGTTTCCGCTTCTTTTTTTTTTAAAAAAAAAAATGAAGTTAAAATAAAATAAAAACAAGTCGGTGAAGGACACGTTTGTCTCCTCTTCCATCCTGTTTAGAACGCAATCTCATTTTTGGATTGATCCTATTTCCATCGATGCTCCCAGTGATGCCAGGCTTCGTCGGCAAATTCGGCACATATTAAAGACCAACTAGCCCTGCCGGCAAAATCGGTAAATTCTGCGCCGGCCGACATCAAGTCCGACCGGAATAGTTGATGGCGGCCAGCCCCGGAACTGGCCGCTGACTGATTTTTTAATTCATGACCGGTTCCTTTCTGTGGTTGTATCGACAAACAAAAAGCAAATATTTGCAAAGGACCTGGACACCGGCATGCTATTTGACCCAACCTTTACTTGTGACCGAAACTATCAGACAAGCAAGGGACGCCAACATACAAAACGTCGACGTTTCAACAACGGACACGCCCATCCGTAAGTCATCACGAAGCGAGACCATCTAAACCTGGTTGGCACACATTGCTTTTTCTCCCGTCGAACGTTTTGTGTCACTGTGCCTGGCATCGTAAACGGTCGACGGTAAAGCTTCCGCTTGGCTTCTAGCCATGCCACCGAGTATCGTTAAAAGTTAAGAAACCACGAGTGACGTTCCATGAGCTGGTTCGGCTCTTTGGCTTCGAATCTAATCGGAACATGCGCCCCGGACAATCTAACCTCATTGAATCTGCCCCTCTGCGGTTCATCCTCGACAAACGGGAAGGGTTCACAGCTGACGACATGACAAGACAGAAAAGCAGCAGAATTGTCCACAGCGAGAACAATTTGCGCAAGCGGCGACACTTCTTGTGTGGCTATCACATCTCGGCAGCTAGGCGTGAAAGCGGTTCCATCTTGGTCCAGCATCACCCTCCCACAACGCTGTCCTAGAATCTGCTCTAGGAATTTATATCCAGTGAGCCGGTGGGCCACCGAGCCACCGAGCCTTGCCCGTTGCACCTTCTGCCCGATCTTGCCGCCACCCATCCGAGCACTCGCTCTGCACAACAAGTTCTGATATCGGAATCTCACGAGCTGTTTTGCTTTGTCTAGTGATGCGGGTGCGAATCCCGTTCTCCGAAAGGTCAACGATAGTTGCAAGCAGCGTCACGGACAGACAAACCGGAGCCTGTGGTGGTCAAATCCACAGCATGACAACAAACATGACAGGTATCAAACAAAACGACCTGTTGCAAGGAGAATCGCTACAATCGGCGGGAAGGGTAAGCTGGCGTAGGCGTCCCTTCGTCCCAGCCCACGAGTGGCAAAGTCGGGATCTCCATTCGGTGTGCCAGTCGAGCTCGAGTGAGTCAAGAGATGAGGCAATGAAGTGGATGCAGTGTCGTCTGAAGTTTCCAGGCAGCAGAGCCTTGATGTGGCCGCAATTCGTTTATTATGGTAAACAACAAGGACAGCAGCTTCTCAAGGTCTAGGATGGGACAGTTGTGCCGTCGTCTGAAGTCAACTTCGGCATCTCATAGGACCCAAGACCAAGTCACAAACAACTATGTTTGGGGTCAGTCACGCCAAACGGCCAGTGCCGAGCCTCCCGACAAGTCGTAGCACCGGTCTGCCGAAATGATATAAGCTATGTCGGCGCTCTCAGCTCTCTCCTTGCTTGATTTGAAACCCACTGGCATTTGGTTTGCTTGGAATTATCACCTCGAGGGCAACAATTGCGTTGCCTCCTGAACTCGCCAAAAGACAGCCTGGTGGGCTTACGGCGTGCGTCAGTCCAAACTCTACGGGCTCGTCGGGACGAGCGGATATACGCAGTCCACTTCGCATCCCGAGCCTCGTTGGCATTCTGTTAATGAGGTGTCCTTGCAGCCAAGATGGCACGCCCGGCACTGGGACTTTTATCCAAGAATATCATACCAGCAAACGCGCTGTTGCCGTTTTGGCGTCTTTCCGTGACAATCAAACCTTGCTTTGTTTTGTCGATTCGATTTCTGTAATAAGGACATGCCGCATCATACGGTAGGTTTTGCTTGCCGTGTTGAAAGTAATCGGATTCGCGCATCCGTGGACCGTCTTCGCCTTAATTTCTCCCGGCCCTGTACAAACATATGCACTTCACTCGGGCTGCGCTTTCCGACGGTCTCCAGGCGATTTCCGCTTGGGTGTTCTGGTAGTGTTCATTTTGCTCCCATCGCCGGGGCCAAGGAAAGGTACACGCAGGCGCGACAAAAGGACCCGCCAGGAAATCCTGAGGCAAATATGGCGCACAAGAACCACAAAAATGGTCGGTTGCCGAAATGTGCGATGCCGGCCGAAGGCCACATTTACATGAAAAAGAAATAACATTCAACACAAAAAAGTGAAATGACAAAAGGAAAGCCGGTTCCATAGTTTCCAAAGTCGCCGTTTGTTCGCCTTTGTCGGGTGACCAAGGCAAGAAAAAGTCAGCCATCAGCCCGTCCCAGGACCCGCACACAAATCAAATGGTGCCGAGTGTTTTGCCATTCCTCTGATCCCTGAGGGACGACTGGGCAGATGCTTTTACCAGCACATGTTTTGATTCGTTCGTGTGAAATAGTATTTTGTCTCCTGTCTTTCTGGGGACAGCGGCTTGTGTCAGTCGTACTCGTGTCGTGTGCCTCAATTTTCGTCTCGTATTCCACTTGGTACGACGGATCTGCGGCCTGATGTGCTCCGTAAATTGCAAGTTTGGTGATTGCAGTGCTCCGTGTGCGTCCTTGTATTTGCGTCCTGAAAATCTGACAGCGCACCGCTGACGCATCGGAACACCGGGGTCGTGTCGCATTCGAACAAGACCATACTCAAGCCCCCAGGTCACGGTGATAAATGGCAAAGTCCATAAGCAGACGGCGTTTTGGAGTGCTCTGCCCATTCTCCTTTTCTTTTAGGGCTGTACTTTCTTGAAGCCTGAAATGGGCACCGTAATACAGAGTCGTAAGGGAACGGGGCCCTGTCCGCCTCGCTCCGTTGCGTCGTGCGCGTAAATTACGACGCGCTTTGCCGAGAGAAATGGGGCCGCCTCAACCCACATTGCCACTCTGTCGGTGCGCTGGTGATTGAAATGGCCCAGACCCCGACAAAATCAAGAGACAAAATGGTCAAGGGGAAAGAAGAGGGCCAAGCGACATTCATACCGAGGATCGACGGGAAACTAGCTGTGTAAGCTGTGTACTGTGTAACAATACATCGTAGGTATGTGGTGCTGGGTCTCAGCCACGTAAAAGGCCGGAAGTGAGACACGTCGGCCGTCCGTCCTCCTGGGCGAATGTCGATTTCGCAGCTTGATCTTGATTTCGATTTAGCCGGCGGCGAGTAGGCAACACGGAGGATGGGCGAGAGCCAGTAGGTAAAGACAAAAAACCAACGAGAGAGGGAGGACGAATGCGATGCACAGGCCTGTAAAGAGACCCAAAGAGCCGATTCGAAGCATGCACTTCGCCAGCCGGTTTGGGGTTTGGTTGCCAGTTGCCGTATTGAGGCTGGCCCAGCACGGCCGAAGACCAGCAGCATCAGCAGGAGTATCCAGCGCTGCGCCCGGTCCATTGTGCATAACAAATCTCATGCGACACTTGTTGGGGCCAAAGTCTGAGCCGTCGGAGGCGGTCTGAAACGTGAGACACGGCGCAACGGGGCTGCCCAATTGGACATGGAAGATGTGCTTCAAACCGCCTCTCATTTTTCTTGGCCCCTATTCCTTTCTCGTCGCCCAACCGTTCCGGGATCTGTTCATTTTCTTTCTGCTCTTTCTTGCGCCCTTTCATGTTTGTTCTACCGTGCACCGTCTTTCAAGGATCGGGTGGTTTGATAATTTGATGAGTATGGCGGTTTGACAAGGTCGTTTGACCGGGGGTAGAAGGGAGGGTCGTCCCCGGAAGTAGGTGTAGTCTTAATGTGCCGGCCAGCTTGCGAGGCGACCTTTACGAATGATTTGTGAAAAGGGGAAAGCCGGCGACAAAAGAGAACTAAATACGACGTATTGCCGGTTGCTCTTTCTTTCCTGTGAACATGTTCGTGGCTCTTTCTAAAAGTAAAATAGAAGGAACGATGAAGAAACGCTCATGTTAAGCAAGGACGGAGGGTACACGGAAGACACCCACACGAAGCACTGGGCGAGACATGAAAAAACACGGCGCCATCTTTGGGGGAACTGGTTTTGGGCACGGAAGCAAGTGGGGCAATCTTCCAGCTAAATTGTGCGTCCCGGTCGGTCTTGGGGCAGTGGCACGACTGTTCGAAGAGAAAGAGGTGCCTAGGCCGCAGGAAGGAGGGACGAGGCAAGAACGGCCCCCCTAGTGTGCGAAAGCCAGTCCGGTCCGCTACCGAGCACCTTCACGTGCCTTCCAATTGTTCGATACCGTGACCTGTAACTGCCGAATAAGTTGGCCGTTTCATGGGAAGTGCCCAAGATGTGAGAAATTGAAGCAATAAGGAAAAGAAGGTAAGTATTATGCGGGAAAAGGACACGGAAGCACTGCAAACCCACGGGTGAGTTGGCGATTCCAAAACTCTGCAAGATCCCGGGCGACGTGCGCATGGATAGTCTCACTCCGAAGCAAGGCATCTTACGTGTGCAGGCTCGCCGTCACGGAGCGGAGTCGACAGACACAACCTTGAGCTAGCAGCCAAGACCTGATTTGCTCGGCGCATAGTCCCCGATCAGCACGCCAAACACTTGATACTTGGGCGGCCGACGGTTACTGAGACTCGACACCCCCCTTCTTCAGAGACGAACGACGGGTGGCAAACATATCTCTCCTACGAGGCACTGGGGAGCAGATGGACACAGCGACAAGACCAACTTCGCGACGACGTGGTCCGGACGAGTTCAAGGGCAGCATCTCTGGGAGAAAAGGATGCAAAGGAGAACAGAGAAAGAAAAGGGGAAAAAGTAGAAAAATGATCAGGAAACAGAAAATACCAAGGCGACCAAGTAGAGGCGACGCAAATTATGATTCCCGGTTGCTCGTGACATTCGGTCTGAGCCAAGACTTTGCGAGCCAAGCGAGCCCATGTGTCACTCGACAGGTCGCCCGATCTTTTCGTTAGTACTCCGTAGTCCGGTTGTCGTCACCGCTCTCCCTAGGTCTTCCCTGGCCTTGTGATTGTCTTTCATCTCCTCCCAAATGGCCACCTTGTGCAAGAGAAGACACGATACACTCTAAAGTGCTGGACACCTCCGTAATCCCAACAGTGAATCAAATAGGAGCAGCGAAAAAGGCGTTGTTGGGTACAACCCGCGGCCAAAGTTTTCCGCCCTGCAAATTGCAATTTACGCGTCTGGGCTGCGGCCGGGACACCATCCTGCCGCCCGGCCAGTTGTGTCTCTGGGAAGGTCAAACTAACCGTGTTTGGCTAGGACTGGTCTTGGAACGGCCGGGGTGGGCTGAGATTTTCCATGCACAGTGACTTCGCTCGTGTACCTTGCTTTCCCACTCTTCAATGTACCGAGTATGACAACGCAATCACAGGTGGCCGTGTGTCTGGCATACCGGAATCGAGGACGGCGCCATTTCAAGAGCTGTGTTTCGCTCCATGCTCTCTTTGCATGGTGAGAAAAGGGCCTGGAATTTGTTGGGCAAGGAGCGGGGGAGATGTCTCTTTTTGCGGCGCTAGCCACTTGATGCCACGGGAAGCGCGGCCTCTGGGAATGGGAGCGCCAAGAGAAGCGCCGTAAAAGTCGCGCAAGGTGCCAGAAGGCCGCCAGCCCGCCAGCCCGCCAGCCCGTCAGCCCGCACAATGGGCGAGAGTCTGCCCCGGGCGTGATTCCATAGCGACGGGCTGCTCTGTGGCCCCTTGCCCCTTCTGTAAATGCAGTGCCTCGCGTCTCTGTATCTTACAATGCTACTACCCTAGAGCCTGCGTCGTGCTTCGCCGGGAGGCCGGGCTGTGGCTCGACATTGCTGCGCCGTGGAAGCCGGCAGTCAGCGTCATCAATGCAGGGTAAGGGGGGATGCAAGTCAGAAGCTCCTGCCTCCTCCTTCCTCGCGATGCAGACAAAAGTCCGTCCTACGTGAAAGGAGGCAAGGTACAGAAATCAGTGGACTGTGGCCGGGGCGTACGAACACCGCACAGCCTGTGTCGCCCTGGTTGCGCACAACGCCAAAAGCAGGCAGGCATCCCGTCCGCACGCCCTCGCTGGTCTCCGTGCTTTGTGGCGACGGCACGCAGGCCAGCAAAAACCTTGGTGCTCCGGGGCCAACTCGCCAGGCTTTAGCCAGCAAACAGAAGTCGACCCACTTTTCAATTTCCCACTCTTTACGTTCTTGCCTTGATCGCCTGGCTTTGTGCTTTCTGTTGTCCGTCCCTTCCCCTTCGAGCCCCCGGCATCATCACCCGATCCGCCCGTGTTCGTTGTTTCTCAATTATTTGGGCCTTCCGTCCATCATTTTTTCACGTCTGCTTAGTGTTTCCCACATCGTATTATTAGGCGTCATTCTGGTTATCCTGTGTTCGTTCCCAATTTGCGGCCGGGTGTTGTTGGCGTCGAGTGCACACCCCCCTTTTTGTTGTGTGTCGCGCACCGTCCACGCCCCCCCTCGTTGCTCTTTCCTTCGTAGCCGCCGCCCCGACCGTCCGTCCACGTCTCCTTCTTTCTGACTGGGGCTAAATTTTCCATCCCGTCATCCGCCCACCGCCCACCGCCCACCGCGCCTTCCACTACCGTGACACGCTGTTGCCCACCGCTCTCCCGCTCCTGCTCTCCCACCCCTTCAATTTGTGCCCCCTTTGCACAGCTTCCCCCTTTCCCTCTCCCGAAACGTAAGGCAGTATCGGCGCCCCTTCCTCTTTTTTTATTCTCTTCAGTGTCCTTCGGGCCTCCTTTCTTGCTTGTGCTCGCTATTGCGCTGTGTCATTGTGTCTGCTGTCCCTCTGTGCGTTGCCTACTTTATGCAATCTTTCGCACATCCTACAGTGCGCTCTTGTGTGCAAGCCCTGAAACGTCAAGATCGCTCTGGCCCGGGCAGGCCGTGGCTTTTTTAGAGCAAGCCCCGAAATAACATTGCTCCAGGCCACAGCCGAGAAAAAAGAGGGAAATGAAGAAAGAAGAAGAAAAAGAAAAGGAAAAAAAGAAACGAAAAGGGCCACAGGCCAAAAGGGCCGCCCCAGAAAAATTGCGTCCCGACCGACGCCGAAGCGTAGTTTCTCGTCTGACCCCCGAACCTCAGCCCTGGGGCTGACCCAAAACAGGCGGCCAAAGAGCCCAAGCCCTGCACAAGCCCCCAAAATAGCGCCCAAGCTCGCTGCCACCCGCGCGTTGCGCGTGTGCCTCTCCGCCGCGAACCTCCGTTGCCTTGTCCGGCGCTCCTGCTCCTTTGCCACCTCTGCGCCCATGCCCTCACGCGCCTCTTCCGGCCCTTTCCTTTTTTTCTCCTCCACCTGTTACCTTGTGGCCCCTAATTTGATCCGCGCACTTCTTTCCTGCCCGAATTCCCTCCCGGCTCTTTTCTTCTCCATCCTCGTTTTCTCCTCTCCTCTCCTGCCGAGACAGTTTCTTCCCTTCACCACATTCTTTCTCCCCCCGTCCATCAACGCTGCTTTGCGTCGTCAGCTCGGGCGTCTGTCCGCACCACCATAGAATCGGCCTCACCTTTACAACCAGAATCTGGCACGTCGCAAGCTACTGCCAGCTGTCACTTTTGGATCTCCACCGCTCAGCAACATCTCCTCTTTTCCAGCTCCCTCACTCCCTCCCACCAGGCATACATCCATCATCTCTAGACAGGTATTCGACTCCGAACATCGCTCACCGCCGCACTCACGATGGCCTCCGTCGTCCGCAGCACGGCCCTCCGCGCCGGCGGTGCCTGTGTCCGCTGCCGCAAAGGCAAGACAAAGTGTGTCTACGAGAACGGCCGCGCGCCGTGCAAGAACTGCGCAAAGGGCATGCACGAATGCTATCTCCCCTCAGAGTCCATGAGCCATGGTGGACAGGGTGTCTCTCCGGCTCGCATCCCCCAGCGGACGCGCGAGTCCCTGCCCAGCGACAGCCGGGTTCCTGGCTCTGGATCGGCCGACCGCGTTGTCCTCACCTCGTCGGCTTCGCGCCACTCGCTTGGCAGCGCGGAGAAGTAAGTTTATTCGCCCCTCCCGCTCCTTGTCCTTCCACGTCCTTCTGCCGAAAGTGGGCTTCCATGCTCCGGCGGCTGGTAATCACCAAACCTTGTATTGGCCCCGTACTGCCTATGTTGTACCGTTAACTAACCATGCCGTTTCTATCACAGGTTGACTCCAGAACTTATGGCCGAGTGCGAGCGGGTTATCTCCAAGACACTGCCTGCTTGCGTTGCCTTTCATAAGCCGTCCTTCCTGCAGCAGCTGAAGAACGCTGCCCTCGACCCGTCGATGGTGCACGCCCTGCTGACCACTGCTTCTCGGTAAGATAAAAATGAACAACCTTGAGACGGCTGATGCCGACACAGTTTCTAACTCCTTATCAGTTACTCTCCCAGTCTCATCCGCCGGTATGGTAGCCACGGTGGCGGCACGGCTGCTGCGGAGCACTTTGCTCAGAAGGCGAGCAACTTCATCATGCAGTCCCTCGATCACCCGAGCCTTGGTGACATTCAGGCCCTCTGCCTCCTCGTTATCCATGAATGGGGCTGCCGCAACGCCGTCCGTGCATACATCTACCTCGGCCAGGCGGCCCGCATGGCCCAGATGTTCCGCATCGTACAGATTCACCAGCCCTCGGATCCCGACAACTTCCTGAAGGAGGAATCATTCCGCCGCACTCTTTGGCTCATTTACATCCTCGACTGTTTCCTCACGAGCAGCCCCGGCCGCCATCCTGCTCTTTCGTCGCTGGACATTGTTGATGTCGCGCTCCCTTGCCAAGACATGAACTTCAACTTTGGCAGCCCCGTCTTTGTCCGGACACTCAGCGGGGTCGCCCCCGGCGTTGCCCCGGACCCGGATGCCCCTCTGGCCGATGTTGGCGAATTCGCGTATATTGTTCTGGCGACGAAGGCCTGGCGCAGTGTGGTTGAGATGATGACCACCACGTCCATCGACACCTTCTCCGAGGCCCGCTGCTTGGACCTTGAGGCCGAGATTGACGCCATCCGCCAGTCTCTCCCCGTCCACTTTGCCGACAAGCCTGGGCAGATCAACCTGCACGTCACCATGGGCAGTGGCTTCACGTACGCCATGATTCACTGCCTCTTACAGTGTGCCACGATCTTTGTCAACCGTCGCCAAATTCTGCAGATCGTTACGGCCGAGGACTTCAATGCAGATGAGTGGCGCAACAGCGCTCATACCCAGCTCGTCGACAAGATCTTTGCAGCCTCCCATGGCATCATCTCTATGCTGGTGTCGCTCGAGAACGGGGCGGATAAGGATTCCATCCTCTGCTTCCCCATCGTGATGCTTTTCTCTGCCTTTACCGCTGGTTCGACTGTTGCATACTTGTATCTCAAGGGACTCGCCCCCTCCAACGTGACCGACACGGCATTGCTCATTGTGCGCGATAGTTTGCGTCTGATGAATGACGGCGCCGAGTCGTGGCCTCTGGTCATGCCCTGGAACCGCCATCTGACTGTTATGGCTAAGGTCCTGCGCGACATTAACGCGCGCGAAGATGCGCCTGGATCGCCAGAGCAAGCCAAGGCCCGCAATGGCTCGCCCTATGTCAAGGACGATGCTTCGTCGCAGCCGGACACAAATCCCGATGCTATGGACTACGAGCATGCGGGCGGTAACGTGTCGCATGATGCCGAGCGCAACGACTCGGTGGACCGCGGCAGCGAGCCGCCCGCACCCAAACGCACCGGTGGCATTGCCACTATCAACGGTGGTTCTGCCGGTGCCTCCACCCCGGCCCCCGACAGCCCGCCTCCGGTGCCTGTCAACAAGCAGGAGTCGCCCGAACCGCGCTCCAACTCGAACCCGCCGAACCTGACGGTCGACATTACGGCCAAGGAGCTGTGCAGCGCCTTTGAGAGACAGCTCCTGGAGCTGGACGACCTGGCAGCGTTCATGGGCGGCGGTGTCTAAACTTCGCGTTTACGTCATATACTTTCTGGAACATTACAACCATACCCGTTTTGTTCTCTGCGTTTTTCTTCTTTTTTCCTTGCTGTTCTACGCGACAAAACTCTTCTCAACACTTTTTACAATCTGTTTCATGTTCGGTTGTTTGTCACCATCTCTCCGGTTTGACGTCTTCCACCGGTTTTCGGTCTGTTTGATACCGTGTTTGCATGCGACAGTCTCGTCTTTTGTCTTCAGTATTGTTTTCCAACCTGTACGGATATCAGCATCGGTTGCAAGGAGCTTGTTACTTTCTAATCAGTGTCTGCGGAGTACCTTTGTTTACTGTTGTTTGTATCGTTCTCATATATGGAATAAGTCAAGGGATGGCCCGCGGCTGGGTTGAAGGGAATTTGTTTACTTGTTTGGTCTTTTCTTTAAGGCGGTTCATCGAGGCAACGAATGTTCAGGGAACGGAAGGCCGGGAGACCCAAGAAATCTTTCAATTTGTGGCGTTTTAGTATTCACTGTCGTTTTTGCCCTTTTTTTTCAACTTTAACTTCGGATTTTTTTTTCAACCCGTTGAGATTGTTTGCCATCTTACAGTCGGTTTTTTGTTTCTATGCGACTCGATTCGCGTTTCATTACTGAACAACGTGTTTCTGTGACGAGTATTCCCCTCTCATTTACTTTCAAGGCGCTCAATCCGTCAACCTCGGAGGCTATGTGTCATATTCTGTGTGTTGTTCATCTTCTTCCTATGCATCACAAAAAGTTCGAACCTTGTCAGTTCGCGGCACTATTTTCATTTCCAATTAATTTCCCTCGTACGAATTATTTATGTTGTAGTATAAGACTGTATTAATTTTAAGAAAATGACGGCCATCAAAGACGCTTAATAGTTAATTGCCTTTGTAAATCGGCATTTTTCTTAAAAAAAGGCAAATTACAAAATAAAACTTGCAAATAAACACGTTGTACTTCCAAACTATGTACAATTTCTTATACTATGGTATGTATCCGTAAACTATATATGTAAAACCAAAACCGAGCAAGACCCTGGTTCAGGACCAACATATCCTTCATGTGTTTCTGCCACACCGCAATATGCTCGTTGTGTGTCATGTCGGTTGCTGTACGGTGGTTGGTCGTGGTTGCTGCCGCAACTGCACCGGACACGCCGTTACAGGAGTAAAATATGCTCTTAAATGTTCAGAAAATATTGAAAAATCCAAAAAACTAGGCCGGGTCTGCCTCTGTGCCAAGGAGATGCAGAACAGAAAAAGGATAGGATTCGCACGTGGAGTCTCGCCGCTCAGTTGGATGAAGAACCGACCGTCTCGTATATGATTAGCAGTGCCGAACCCTGCTTTTCTTGCTCCAACCCTCGCAACGCCACTCATGATCCTCTCTTCCGGGTGTCCACTCATGCGGTTGTCTTGGATGCGGAGCTCTGCTCTCCGGTTGACTGCTGTACCGATGTGCCACCCGCCTGCTTGACAAGTGCCTCGAGAAGCTGCTTCAACTCGGTGACCTCAGCGCGTAGCTGCCGCACTTCTACCACGGCAAGCTCGTCTTCGACGTTGGGCTTGACGGTCTCGACTGTCTTCTTCCACCCGTCCGCTTCAAAGTCGACACCAACACCAGTCACAGCGAGCTGCTCCCACTCTTCAACCGTGTCGTCGTCGTCATCGCCACGGCGGCGGTTGCCCAGAATGTCGTACGCCGTCCGGGTCTCAAAATAGGCGGCGATGAGCAGCAGCGGCGAGTACAGGATGCCCATGACAATGTCGTTGATGCGCTCGTACATGCGCTTGCTCATCCACCATTCCAGCGGGAGCGCCAAGAAAAACACCTCGATGAGGTTGAACGGAGGGATAAACACGTTCTCGTCCGGCGCGCGGACGAACTGCATCGTCTTGTGCGCAAACAAGGCGAGGTACTCGTCGTCGGCGTTCTCGTAGATGTCCTCATACGCCGAGTTGTAGAGGGCGATCAAGATGTTGAGCAGGACAACCATGACGATAAACGTAAAGCAATAGTACAGAATGATGCCAAAGGGATGCCCGAACTGCTCGAACCCTTCAAAATCAGGGCTCTGCATCACGGCGTTGGCCATGGCCTGCACGATGAACGTCACGTCGCTGAGAACGAGATCTTCTGCAATGTCCAGGCCGATAAAAGCCTGCAAAAAGCCAATGACGATGACCACCAACAGGGCGAAGAAAATGACCGACTCTTTCATCATCACTTTGAGCACGACGAGCATGGCACCGAAAAACCGGTAGCTGTCCAAGTACAGCAGCAGGCGGACCCAGAACATGGGTGCGCTGACGGCCAAAAAGTTGTAACTCAGTTCGTTTAAGTGCTCGCGCGGTCCCTTGTCATTCGGGTCGTCGGATGGCGCTTTGGAGAAGGCGATGAAACGCATGATGAGACTGACAAAGAGGAGCGAGTAGAGCACACCGTTAAAGGCGTCCCAAAAGCCGAGAATGTAGTATCCGGCTTTCCAGACCTTGGCAAATTCGTCAAAGAGGAAACCGCATGTGAAAAGGTACAGAATAATCTCGACGATGTCCAAGTCTCCATTGCGGTTGATGGTGTTGATAGCAATGGTGTAGAGCACCAGGTAGAGGATGGAGAAGAGCACTTGGACTGCATTTTGGTACATGGGGGCGCGCATGCGGTCCGGGTCGAGGTGCGAATAGAACGACGTGTTGTCGCGGTCCTTATAGTCCACGAAGCTTGAAGGATCGTCCTCGTCCTGCACAAGCCATCCGCGCCAGAGGTAGTTGATGCATTTTTGATATCCCGAAGAACCGATGACACGAAGAGCGTGCAGGTCGACGGCCTTTTCGATGACGTTGGAAGGTAGAGTCGGCTCGTTATTAACGAGAATCGAGTAGCGTTTGAGGAGAACCGCGTGCATGAGGTAGTTCGTGTTTTCCTCGCTTTCGATGCTGTTTGGGAGTTTAGAAACAATGTGGCCAGGACCGCAGTAGCCAAAGGGTAACGCAATACGCACATGAGCTTGGCTATCACCTCGCACGCAGTCGAGCGAATATTGTGCATCTCCGCATCCCACAGCTCAATATGGGCTTGGTGCCAGAACCACCGTTTGCAAATAAGCAAGCAATAGACCTGGGCCGTTAGCAACTGTGCACAGCGAAAGGCCAGTAGTGATGTCGGCTGCCCGGTCTCCTACATCCCATCCCCAACGCGGAATCTACACATACCACGCAGTCCTTGTTATCTTCGCCACCGGCCTCTTTGGCCGCTTGGACGACTTTTTTCGTAATGACCTGGCTATGAGAGCGCGTAATGACGTCTTCCTCCATCTCGCATGGAATGCATTCTTCGATCAAATAGCGTAGACGAATCGCGATCTTGGTCACCTCTTCGGGTGGAATGGCCGACTCAATCGTGTCTTCGACGTATGCCGGGAGAACTGAACACGGGAGGGAAAGGTCAGCACGACTGTTCAGGGAGAATTGAAGCTACTACATCATGTATTGACCACGTACGTCGTCGTCGCGTCTCTTCCCACCACCGATCGTGCTGTGCATGAGACGGATGGCGGTCCCATCCGAGCAGCCGGCGCCAGCCGCCCGAGGAGCGGTGATTCATTGTCGGCAGGAGAGGTATTATGCAAAGAAGCTCTCGTAGCACGCATTGACCGTTGTCGTGGTCGTTGTCTCCAGCTCTGCAAATGCTAATTGGATTTTGGCTGTACGTTGTATGAATGAATCTGCGAGAAGGTGGAAGCGGGGAAAGAGGAGCTCAAAGAAAAGAGCTGGCTGGCACCCTCTTTTTACTGCATCTTCTTTCTCCTCTCTCTTTGTCTGCTTGTCGATTGAGTCCGATGCTAGCGCGAAAGCACTTGTCGCGAATGGGGAAAACAAACTGGGAAAACTGGGCTCGACAATCGTCAGCCAAACCAAGACGTTCGCCGAGATTGTGTGGTCCAGCGGGTCTTGGCGTTGGAGCGAGTACTAATTCGGGATGACGTCGGCGGTGATCGATAATTGCGGGCCAAGTCACTAGCCTCGCAAAGACCTCTTCTGTTTTGCTTCATCGTGAGGCCAAATACTCTGTACCTACCACCGAGATATGACGAGGCTGCTAAGATGCAACTGGATGGCCTCGAATGCGACAAGAAATGGGCGGTAAACATAGGCCCAGCCAGGACAAATGCACCGTTAAAATGCCGCATTTTGACAACGGAGGACAAAGTGAAACAACTGCTCTGCAAATACCAACTGGCCAATGATGTGCCTGTTGGTTAATTTGAGAAATAATCTGACGCAAGTCTTTTGCAATAACTGCAGCGTATCGTCAACTGTTGGGTGTTTGTTTTTTGTTCGGTCAATGAATTGTTGCTGATGTAGGACGGCTCGTTTTAGACGCTGGTTCGAGTCCATATGCTAGGCCTCGGTAGGGTAGTATTCAGAACTGGCGTGGCAAGCTTGTTTTAAGGCATGTTCACACAATGGGTGTCCTTGCCGTGCTGAGCATGTCTCGCGGAGCCTCAACAGACGATAAAATCTTCTGCCTGGCGATCTTGTCAGTGAGGATCAATGAGCAACCCCACTATTGCATGTGATCACTTCTCTGGCCGGGGAAGAAGTGCCATCACGATGATGGTTGGCCAACAAATCGGCATGTCGCTCGTTTGTGGTCGACCATCGTCTCAAAAGAAGGTTGCAACACGGCAAGCAACATTTGACGTGGCATCCGCAGACTGTGCCAAAGTCGCCCGTGCAACGTGGATTAGGCTGGTGTGCCCCCCGTTCTTCCACGAGAATCCGGGATTATATTTCAGCTGTCAAGGTTAGGCTGCCAACGGCACAGCAGCCCATAGTAACTCCCTTTGAGCCGCACAAGCGACACCATCCCCTCTGCAAGGATGAGCCGTCCTTGAGCAGCTTCTCGACCTCTTGGTCCGATAAAGAGGGTTTGGCAAATGACTTCCGCCCAGGCTCCACTGTTGCCTGCCTGTTGAGAGCCGCTTCCGAGGCGGTGTCTGCCTGTGGGTGTCGCTTAGCGTTAGATGGTTTGACGAGGCTGAGAAACTCGGTGGAGTCGCGACGACGAATCGTGACGCTGGTTGCTCCGTAGTGGGCGACGATATGTTTCTTGTAGCGCGGCGTCTTAATCCAAAATGACAGAAAACGGGCAAGGTGCATTTGGCTCGCTTCTATCGTCGACAGTTTGCGGCATTCCAACAGTGGAAAGTCCAACTGGCAGATCTCCCGTTCTCGATTTCCTTTTTTTTTTTTTTTTTTTTTTTTTTTTTTTCCCAAACTGGGCGTTCACAGGTTTGACTCAGTGGGGGAGAGGGTAAGCGGGGAAGGCAGTGGCCCAAGCTCCTACCCGCGTGGCTTGTCTTCACGCTGGCGATTGGAAGTGAACAGTTGAGACCGTTAAACGGGAGAGGAAGGCGCGACCCTGAAGCTGTGACTGCAAGCCAGGCGTGAGATTTAGGCAACAGGCAGGAATCATGCATTCACCCAAAAGGCCAACCCGTGGCTATGCATGGAGACCGCAGCTTGGGGCTTTTCTGACAACAAACAACCAAACAAAGTGCACGTCGGCCAGACCCATGCATGTTTCTGTAAAAAGCCCTCCACATATTTATCTTCTATTCACATCTATCTCTTTTCAAAAGGGTATAATAAAGACCACCTTCGTCCTCTTACTTCGTTCATCGTTCCTGCCTCACGTTTTCTGTCGTTGTTTCCATTTTTTGCTAACCCTTCCCCGCTCCTTCTGTTTCCGTGGCACAACCTCACACGCTCGCGCCAGCTGTGTCGACAACCTTTCGACTTCTTTTTTTGTATACATTGCCATCGCATCACGAACAAAACTTGCTTCAATTTGCCCAACTTTCCGACGTTGCATCCTCGGTTCTTCAGTAATCGCCACACGCTGCGGTATTTTGCTTGGATCTTCGCTTTCTATCGATTTTGGTGTAAGTAAATACAGACCGACATTCCACCAAGCAGCATGATTTAGATATCTTATATGCTTCATCCCATCACGGTTCTCTTCTATTTGCAACCGGGCCTTCCTATCGTCTTAATTTTATTTTTGCTTTCCCAGTCCCCATTTTTGAATTCTGATCCAGCTGTCTCTCACCGACTTCTCAGGCTGCATCTTGCCTGTCGCCCAGTCCACCCTGCATATTCAAGACTACCGTCAAGTGGCGGCAACGTACCTGCGGCCCACGCCTCGCTCTCGACCTCCACCTTATCGCTATTTCCTTTCAGCTAGTTCTGCTGGCTTCGTTAGGAGCCGACAGTTGCATCAGCGTCCCCCCGAATTCCCCCCCGCACGAGGTGTCTTCTACTCTTAGGTCACACGGGCGGTGTATTTTTCACGCGCAACCAATCTTGACAACGACGACAGGCTAGGATTGCAGCGAGCCTCAGGAAACTCTGTGTATCGTGCGTAGTTGGGAGCTGCATGTGCTCTGCGTGAACAGAGGTTTCATTTGACTCTATCCCCGCCTCGCGCCTCGTCCTCTCTGCATCTGCTTTCTTGGTCTTGTTTGTTTCTTGTGGCCGCCTTTGATTCTTGTTCTGTATTTTTGTATCTTTTGATAATTCTGCACGCGTCTGGTTTCATCCTTTGCAACCGGAAAGAGAACCAAAGAATCTATAAAGAAGAACCATCTGCTGACCTATTTCTCCATCTTTCAAGTTTCACCTGCTCCAACAGCAACCTCCCAATATGGATTCTCAAAACTCGGCGGGCCTCGTCATCCGGGAGATGGATACGTCCACGTCCACGAAAGAGGACACTGCAAAGGCCATTGTTGATCCAGTGCCGGCGTCCATCAAGACTGAAACGAGTCTCAAAAAGACAACAAACCGTGCCAATGGCGAGGGGAATGCCAGCGGCAAGGCCAAGACCAGTAAGGCACAGACCTCCAACACCAAGAAGCCAAAGAGGACTGTTGTGATTGAGGTCGACGGCTCATCGGGCTCAGAGAGCGACTCGGACTCATCGTCACTGGCCTCTGATCTTTCTTCCGACCAAGACTTGTCCGACAGTGAGTCCTCCAGCAGCGCCGATGAAGACTCGCGCAAAAAGAAGAAGAACAAGAAGCGTCGCGATGCCGCGAAGGCGACGAAACGGGGTCGGTCGAAAAAATCGAAGAAACCTATCAAGGCCCAAGATCTTTCCGATTCTGATTCTGATTCGAACTCAGACTCGGACTCGGACTCTTCATCCGTGTCAAGGTCTTCGGCGTCACGATCATCGAGTGACTCAGAAAGCTCGTCGGGTTCAGATAGCGAGAGCGACGGTTTTCGCCATCCAGCAAGGGGCCGCCATAACAACCGACGGCAGAAGGATCTCGCCAGGCTTATGCTCCTCCAGCAGCAGCAGCAGCAGCCGCCGCCGCCAACCATCCCAGCCTTCAATCCTTACCAACAATACCAAACTCCCTACTATGGTGCTCCCATGGGCATGCCCATGGGTGGTATGGCGTTTGGTGCGGGCATGGCCCAACCCTTTGCGACAATGCCGGCATACACCCCTCCACCGCTGCCCGCCCACAATCCACCTCCTCGTCATGGCATGCCTCCGAAACGTTCAACCCCCCCGATTCGTGGTAGAGGCAGGATGGCCCGTGGCATGCGGGGCGGTATGCACAATGTAATCGTCGATGGCCATGGCAATATGCGCGACAACCACCGCCGCAGGAAGAGTTCCAAGCACAGGAAGACTTCCAAGTCAATGAGTTTCAAACGTGTTGACCAGGTGTGGGACAATACCATCCACAACTACAAGCTGCAGGACACTGCTGAAGAATCACCTGACTCCGAGTATGACGGCTATGTCTTCCACGTTCGTCGTACGTTTGACTGGGAGGGCAAATACAAGCAAACCTTCGTCGACATCAAGAGCAACTTACTTCGCGATGCCCTGCAGGAGGTCATGGGTGACATCAAAGGTATCAGTCTTGTCGAAGAAACTCCGAAGATGGACCCGAATTTGCTGTTTCTCTACCTGGAGGACATCCGCAAGCATATCAAGACCATGAAAGGATTCAAGCCAACAGGAGACAAGAAGACCCGAAAGAAGGAAGCCAAGCGCAACGAGAAGAAACGCCAGCAACTCAAGGTCCTCGCAAAGTACCTCGACAAGGATTATGAGGAGCTGAAAAACAGGTAAGCGAAGTGCTTCATCTTCGAGCTTTATATACACCTTTTGCCCCTTTGGCTCCACTGTTTGATTTTCTTCGTGACCTTACTCACAAAAACAAATGAATTAGTCTCAAACCTCTTCTCAAAAACGGTCTTATTACCTTCGAGCTGCTCTGGGCTCTATGGAAGCCGAACACCCTGGCTTTCACAACGACATACGGTTCCCCGGACGATCCGCGAGTTTTCAAGGCTGAGATGGCAGAGAAGCACTTCAGTATATCGAAGGGCAGCTTCTACTACATCGAAGGAAAAGTTAGTAATTTCTCTTGCACAATTTGGCACTTTGTTTTGGACGAGAAACATGGACTAACGGGTGCTAGTATTTCGAGTACGATGGCAAACGATTCGGATTTGGTAGCGTTGCCGATGAGATTGACGAGTTTCGGGGCGCACGCAAGATCACGAGTTTGCCCGTCTATCCTCTCGAGTACCACAAAAACGAGGAGCAGCTTCGCAAGGATCTGATCGAACGTGGCAAGAAATTTGTGGCATTGAGTGGCGTCCAATACAAGAACTACGACGGCATGGCCTATTACAAGAAGAAGAAGACAGCTGTCAAGGTCAACATAAGTGGTCGCATCATGATTGACTCCAGCATACACCGGCGTATCAACCCAAATTACCCAATCTCTCTCATCCGCCCTACAGAGCTTGAAGCTTTCTCGGAGGACGACAACTCAGACAACGAATGGGGCAGCGGGCGGGGCCGTTGTGTTGGCTCTGACACGGACGAAGGGAACGGGAGGTCCAACGGCATTCTGCAGGAAAAGAAGGTAAGGCATATACGCAGTACCAGGATCGCAAACATTCGAAACGACAATAAAGCTGACAATTGTTCCGACGACCAGGCCCCGGAGAAGCTCGAGAAAGGGCCTGAAAAGGAGGGTGGCGCCGAGGACGACAATACTTCAGGCGACAACGACGATGCGAAGGTGTCGCTGGAGTTCAGTGAGGAAGAGTACCTAATGTCGTCTCCGGTTGTTCTCGGGTTTGCCTTCGCAGAGAAGATGTGGCTGGAGTTTACCGTGTCGAGTGTGAAGGACATCCACTGGAACAAGGACGCGTACGAGTCTCTTGTGCTTGAGTCCAAGACGAAGGACATTGTTAAGGTTTGTCCCTGTTTCCCATTCCTCTCTGTTTTAAGTATATGAACTGACAACAGTGTATAGGCTCTCGTCGAGTCGCACAAATACCACGCAGCCGAGAGTATCGACGACGTCATTCAGGGCAAGGGCAAGGGTCTCGTTGGTATGTTGACCTTCTTCTCTTCTCCGATCCAGTTGTTGCTGTAGTCGTGGAGGGCTAACGTACCTTCTCTTTAGCTGTACTTCACGGACCTCCGGGTACCGGCAAGACGCTTACTGCAGAGGGCATTTCAGAGCTGCTTAAGTGCCCCCTGTACATGGTTTCTGCCGGCGAGCTAGGAACGGACTCTCGGTTCTTGGAGTCAGAACTGCAGAAGATCCTCGACATCTGTCATGCATGGGGTGCTATCCTGCTTCTCGATGAGGCCGATGTGTTCCTTGAGAAGCGCAACATGCACGATATCCACAGAAATGCTCTGGTCAGCATCTTTCTCCGACAGTTGGAGTACTTCCAGGGTATTTTGTTCCTGACGACGAACCGTGTTGAGGTAGGTCACTGCCCTTCTGTCATATTCTGTGATCCGTTTAGCGACGTTCTTTATTAACATCCCCCAGACGTTTGATGATGCCTTCCAGTCGAGAATCCACCTTGCGCTGCGCTACGACATTCTCGACCAACGTGCCAAGAAAGCCATCTTCAAGATCTTTATCGAGCGGGTGCGCGTTCTCGAGAAGATTGAAATGATGCCATTTTCCGATGAGGACTACAACGACCTGGCCCGGAACGAGCTCAATGGTCGCCAGATCAAGAATACCGTCCGCACGGCCCAGGCGCTGGCCGTGAACAAGAAGGAGCCCATGTCCATGAGCCACATCCGGCAGGTCCTT